TTCTGAATCAGTTCCTTCAACTCGCTCTTGTTCAGGGTGTTCTTGTCGCCCTCTTTCCCCGAATATTTGTGGAAAACATCCACCAAAGTGCTGAGAGCTTCCTCTAAAGCACTGGCCATGATTCGAATTCGGAACCCGAGAGAGGATCTAAACCGGGAAGGAACAAAGGAAGAAAAAAAAAATAATCCAAAGCTTTTCTCGCCTTCTTTTCCCCATCTTTATTTCTATTTTTTAAATTTATTTCCCTCCAATTTTCTTCGCGATTCGGACCGGCGGGGTGGAAAAAAAAATATTCTTTCATTTTTTGCAACTTGCCTGGTTTACAATTTTTTTCCTCTGTTAAAAAGAAAAACAAAAGCAGCTTCCAAAAAAAGGGGGGATTTTTTCCCTCTTTCCCTAGGGATGGGAGTCAACCAAAAAGGACCTCGGAAGGGCGTCATCTGAATAAGTCCATCATCCTGAATATCTTGCTTTTTATTTTATTTCTTTAATTATTTCCTCCCTCCGGGCTCCAAAGCGGCTTTGATTGTAAGCTGTGATTTCATTTTAATGACCCCGTTGAAAGGATATCAAAAGTTTTTTTCCCTTCAGGCTGGGCTGGGCTCCAATTCCCCAGAAAAACACCCTCTTTGTGTCTGGGATTTTCCTCCACTCACTCTTCAATTTTCTCCTTGTGGAGCCTCTTTATCTAGGAAGAGTCTACCTTTAAAAAAAAACCCGTCCTTTTTTCTCTTCCACCAATTCTGGGTGGGTTTTTTTCCTTCCTTTCCTCTCCCAAGTGCCTATTCTCTCCTCTGCACCCTCCTGATGCTTTCCTCCTTCCTCAGAATATTCAGGTCAACATTTGAGGCCAGAGGTCATCTAGACTGACCCCCCCAATCCCCGCTTGGGCCCAAACGGCCCAAAAGGAAATTCAAAAGGAACGAACGCTTTCTTGCTTTGCAAATAACTAAATCTTGCAGAAAAAAGTTCATATAACGGTCATTTCCCTCTGGATTATCGGACCTCTTCGCTTCTGTGTCCTTTTCCTTCCCTCTCTTCTTTTCCTTCCTTCCTTCCTTCCTTCCTTCCTTCCTTCCTTCCTTCCTTCCCTCCCTCTCCTTTTCTCCATCCTTCCTATTTCATTTCCCATTCCTCTCGTCTCCTTCCTTTCCCTTTTCTTTCTCCTGCCTTCTTTCTCCTTTCCCTTTCTTCTCTCCTTCTCTCTCTTTCCTTTTTTCTTCTTCCACCTTTCCTTTCTCCTCACTTTCCCCTTCCTTCCTTCCTCTCCCCCCTCTCCTTTACTCCATCCTTCCTTTTTCTCCTCTCCTCCCTTTAGCTCCCCTCCCCTTTCTCCTTTACCTTTCTTCCTCTCCTCTCCTTTTCTCTATCTTTCCTTTTTGTCTTCTCCCCTCCCCCTTTCCTTCTCCTCTCTCTTTCCCCTTCCTTCCTTCCTTCATCTCCCCCCTCTCCTTTACTCCATCCTTCCTTTTTCTCCTCTCCTCCCTTTAGCTCCCCTCCCCTTTCTCCTTTCCCTTTCTTCCTCTCCTCTCCTTTTCTCTATCTTTCCTTTTTGTCTTCTCTCCTCCCCTTTTCCTTTCTCCTCTCTCTTTCCCCCTCCTTCCTTCCTCTCCCCCCTTTTCTCCCTCCTTCCTTTTTCTCCACCTCTTCCTTTCCCTCCCCTCCCTTTCTCCTGCCTTCTTTCTCCTTTCGCTTCCTTCCTTTCTTCCTGTCCTCTCCTTTTCTCTCTTTCATTTTTCCCCTCCCCCTTTTCTTTCTCCTCTCTCCTTCCTTCCTCTCCTTTTCTCCATCCTTCCTTTTCCCCTCCTCTCCCTTTCCCTCCCCTCCCGTTTCTCCTGCCTTCTTTCTCCTTTCCCTTCCTTTCTTCCTCCCCTCTCCTTCCCCTCCCTTCTTTCTCCTTTCTCTTTTTTTTCTCCCTCCTTCCTTCTCTCCCTTTCTCCTTTCTTCTTCTTT